TTCTAGGATTAAACATTATTTGGATAATTGGTAAAAAAAATAAATTTTAAATCTCTTAATAGCCCTACTGTGTGTTAGACCAACCTGAAAAACTAAAAAGCAATTTATTTCATTTGTTGGCCTATCGTGATTTTTTTTATTTGTGCTATCATTAGTAATTTCTTTATTTGTTCTTATTTTATTATTAACTGCTTAGCCTCCTTGTCATTTTTTATTCAATTCAAAGTTTTAAATCAAGCTATCGTGCTACTGCAACAAAATTACCCAGCTGTAAAATCAAAAATACACTGAGTGAGCAAAACTTTTTAATTACCATTATTACTAGCTATCTCACAATGTTTACATATGAATAAAAGCCTACATTAAATATATATATATAAATATAAATTGGTCTCTTCATTAGAAATTAGCCTACTGATTGCCACCATTGATGGACACATTTTTTTTTATAATATTAAAAATATCTGTATGACATTATATTCTGCAGTTCTTCCCTGTTGTACCGAATATCTATACTTTTCAAATTATCATATCGAAGTTAGAAATTCAAATATTGGGACAATTAATTTTGTAGGGTGCTGCAAATTTGTTAAAATTTCCAAAGGGTGCCGTGACTAAAGAAAGGTTGGGAAACACTGATTTAGAAGATGAAAACCAAACAAAGTTAAGTCTGACACAGAGAAAGGGACCGATGGCTGGCCAGCCGGGGTTCGTCTTTATTTACGTTTATGTGCGTGTACTTCTAACATGTTTGGTTGGTAAAATAAATGTTGTAAATTCAAATCAGAGCATCTTCCGTGTCTGGAATGGATGTATTCTTGAGTCTATAAGGTAACAATAATATAATAAGATAACCTTGTTTGAAATGGGTTTGGCTAAAAGAACATTTTGGTTTCGTCTATACTACTAGGTACTTATACTATATTGACTGGGTTAAATAGAATTGCATTTCTAAAAAGAGACTAAAATAAAATTTTCATTGACTAAAACTAGACTAAATGTCATCAGTTTTCGTCGACTAAAACTAGACTAAAACTTGACTAGACTGAAAAGAGTATGAACGTGACTAAAACTAATAAAAACTAAAATGACAGTTTCACACAAAGACTAGACTAAAACTAAAATTAAAACAGGCCGCCAAAAACAACACTAGTTCCCTTATGTTTGCTCTTGTTACTTCCTACTTTTTCAGAAAAAGTAATGCACATCCTTTATGGAGTTCTTATGTGTGATATTAAATTAAAATATTTAATTGACTAGATAATCTAATAAAGATGGATTGTGCAGAAAAAAGCAGGGCCTCTGTGGGTTCTGTGTGTGCTGCTATGAACTTCTGTTCTAGAAAACTTCCTTTATCTTTTTGAGTCTGTTTTGTGGGAAATATTTTTTCCCATCTTTTTTTGTTTTCCTGACCTTAGCGAACATTAATCTGAAATGAAACCTCATAATATGCTGATTTGAAATGTTTTTTACGGGCAGCTCATGCCATACAAATATCTCTCACATCGAGCCTTAAGCTCGATTGATTCCAATCTAGTTTGACTTTTGCATGCTAATGATACTCTAGGCACAAAAGCATACCAAAATATTGGTGCAAAATACATTGAATAAAATATAGTTTCATTTAACTCCATGAAGTGGCTTTCACAATGCAGTCTGGTATTGCCTTATCCACAAAAGAAAGACATTTTCTGCGGTATTTTAAATTTTGCATCCAAAAGTGCTGACTTGGTAGCTCACTAGCGTTTAAAAGTTAATGATATATTAAAAAATCATAAAGCAGCTGAGACTGAATTGCTAATGTTATTTTACTTCTCACAGAGCGACCCAGAGTTCGTACAGTGGAAGAAGGAGCTCACCGAAGCGTTCACAGAGGCCCAGAAGCTGCTGCGTCGTGCCCCCAAAGTCATTGGCAAGGGGCGAACCAATGTGGTGGAACTGTCCAAACCTCCGCTCGCTCACCGCAACAGCAACGGCCTGTGAGCCGCCCACCTCCCGCTGCCCTTGTCCACCACTCCTCGCTGACCTTAGCGAACATTAATCTGAAATGAAACCTCATAATATGCTGATTTGAAATGTTTTTTACGGGCAGCTCATGCCATACAAATATCTCTCACATCGAGCCTTAAGCTCGATTGATTCCAATCTAGTTTGACTTTTGCATGCTAATGATACTCTAGGCACAAAAGCATACCAAAATATGGGTGCAAAATACATTGAATAAAATATAGTTTCATTTAACTCCATGAAGTGGCTTTCACAATGCAGTCTGGTATTGCCTTATCCACAAAAGAAAGACATTTTCTGCGGTATTTTAAATTTTGCATCCAAAAGTGCTGACTTGGTAGCTCACTAGCGTTTAAAAGTTAATGATATATTAAAAAATCATAAAGCAGCTGAGACTGAATTGCTAATGTTATTTTACTTCTCACAGAGCGACCCAGAGTTCGTACAGTGGAAGAAGGAGCTCACCGAAGCGTTCACAGAGGCCCAGAAGCTGCTGCGTCGTGCCCCCAAAGTCATTGGCAAGGGGCGAACCAATGTGGTGGAACTGTCCAAACCTCCGCTCGCTCACCGCAACAGCAACGGCCTGTGAGCCGCCCACCTCCCGCCGCCCTTGTCCACCACTCCTCTCCATCGACACACACATGCACATGCTCTCACACTCTCTCTCTCCCAGCAAAACGCTTGTCCAGCACCATTAGGCTTCCCAACCGGCACAGCGAGCCGCCATATGGTCCGTTTCGGAAGGTTCTGCTGCACTGTGCCCTGCTGTTCCTCAACTGTTCGTCAATCAAATGCACACACACACGGTTCCTGGGGTGGGCGTCACTCCAGGATAATGTTAAAGAACAATCGGTGATGCCAGTGCTGAATCTGGGACCTCGTTTTGACCAGTGGAGCAGGCTGGGATACTGCGCCCCTTTTGTGAGCATGTCGTTCCATCTGTGATCCCCACGTTCTCCTTGCACACACCGGCATGCTCATATATTAGCAAAGAAAGAGGCCTCTGCTGTAACAATGTCCACTTGGAGCTTCTCTTTAAAGTGGCAGTGTACTAGAGCCAGACAGTATCAGTACCTCTGCTAGAGGGAAACTAGAGCCATGCGGCCTGAGAGTTCTAATCAAATGGAAACAATCTCAAAAAACGATGGCTTAAACGATATCACTCCCGTTGTCTTTCATGTCCTTTGTTGGAACGCCAAGGCCACCTCACTGACTGCCATTCTTGAAGCATATGCTTTGCACCACTTTGTCAACATAGTGGGCGCATGGCATGCATGTCGTTTTATGCTAAACGGACTCGGATTTGTGAACTGTTGTGGCACCCGACCTTCGGGACGAACTTGTAAAGTACAGAATTCTTCGACACTTCCTTAATATTCGCTGACGGATTGAGCAAACTGCAACGGCGAGTGTTGTGCACATCCAATTTGAGCTCTCGGAGGACTACGTACGGTGTAAAAATTAGGGAGCGCTTTTCTTTCTGTCTTTTATTTTTTTGGTGCTCAGCCCTTGTAAACACCAAACTTGGTTGGGTTGCTCACGTGCATTAAGTGTGTGTACTTGTGCGTGTACACGATGCAAAAAGTAGGTGTTGTTGCTTTAAAGGAAATTCCCCAATATTTTCACCAGGAAGAATTGTTTTCTTTCACCTTGAATGTATTTTTGTTTCTCTTTTTTGTTTGTGGGTGGAGTGATTTACGCTGCTTGACACAATGGGTAGGAACGTGGCGGGACATTTGCTAAGACACAAACTCAACCCACTAAACCCACAGAAGTGCAAAAAGTGCCAATGAAATAAACGTTTGACTTGAGACACCTGAGAATTCCTCGAGTCCAGGCCGCGTCACCTCCATCTCCCTGTGAACGGACCCCAAGAACAGTGTTGGAAACTGAACGCACAGAATAAAAACTGAACTGCAGACCTCCATTCGCGTACAAGGACACCAATGGACGGTTGACGATGCATGGTGTCTCGGTTAGAGAGACCACTTGGAAAGAAAAAAACAGCAGCAGCATCCCTGGAGTCTTTTATCCGACTGTATATATGAATCCTTTCTCTGTGCATCTACAGTATAATCTTCTTGACAATGTTTGCATATATGGCGAATTTCTGTCTCTGCCTGTCTGTGTTTGTCCCTATGTCTCAGCTTGGGGGTGGGTGGGGGTTCACATCTGTCAATCAATCGGTGGGCGTGTGCAAACCTCTGGCTGAGAACTGTGCGTACGCGCCTCTTTTAGGACCATCGGTGTGAGAGTGGAGAGTCGGATGGCTTATCTCATAATGAGGTGCGAGGAGGTCTTCTGTCTGTCTCTCGTGTGTTTCGCCATTATCCATTTACGGCAGGCAGACCGTTATTCAGTACGATGATAGTAGGATGCTTGCGCTCGCAGGTGTTCAGAAAGGTGGGCTGCTTGGATCGCGGAAGGAGAGACAACTTAAAACCGTTTGTTGTAAGGCTTGATTTAAATATAGTTAATTTTTATATTGTTTTGAATGTGACGCAAATGCAGATTTCTATAGATGACATATTTTTTGGAGTATGTTATGTGCATTTCTTTTGGTCTTTTTTTGTGGAATGGAAAAACAAGCACAGCTTAACAGGCATGAGGTGATTTTAAAGAAGTGTTTTCTTCATGTATATTCAGGTTCTTTTTTTTTCTTCCATGCAGTAATTTTCTTTTTCTACGACTCCCTTCGGTGCATTTCGAGTGATTTGCATGCGGCGCTCTGCAGAAATCGCAGGGTTTTGGGAGTCGATCAGTTTTTGTAGCCTTTAAGTGTTGGGGAGGTGCCATCCTGAGGGTGCCCTTCAAGGGTTTTATTTTGAAACCAAAATTACTTGTTTTGAAATCTATATCACTGCACTTTTTCCACCACGCTTCATGAGCTGACGAAAAAAAATGTGCCAAACGACTGTAGGAGAATGTCCTTGAACCATTGAAAAGCATGCGCGATGCTCGCCAGCTGTTTCCGAGACTCAAATTGGTACGTTTTAACGAGCGAGCGTCAGCGAGTTTGAGAAAGGGTACAAAAATGTGACCAAATTCAGGTGACGTGGAACAAGTGGGCCGCGAGGCAAACGATCCGACGTCATTGACGATATGCCTCAAAGCTACTGACCGGCGACGGCCGGTACCGTGTTTTGAAACTGCTAGCCCATTTCTCAAAAAAAGGGTGGCACCTCCGCCAGTCCTAAATATCCATGTTTTATTCAGGGGTTTTATATTTTATTTTAACGGTAGCTTTTCAGTCACTTCGTCAGTGAAAGGTTTCTTGAGGTTTATTATCCTCGCCGTATTGTAATATCTGTCCTTGTTTACTTCTCTGAATGGGAAAAGGCTAAATGGTGTTTTAAACTGCACCGGCCTTGAAAGTATTTGGACACTCGAGTCGCAATGTCTAAATGTCATTAGATAGGAAAATCATACCGAGTGGCATCTGTGTTCAAATGCTGCTAGACCTGTTGATTAGTTTTTCATAAACAGTTTGTGCTTTCTGTAAAGTAATTGCTGTTATGCGATTACAATAATACATTTTTAAAGTCAACATGAAAGAAGGTTTCTTGAGGTTTATTATCCTCGCCGTATTGTAATATCTGTCCTTGTTTACTTCTCTGAATGGGAAAAGGCTAAATGGTGTTTTAAACTGCACCGGCCTTGAAAGTATTTGGACACTCGAGTCGCAATGTCTAAATGTCATTAGATAGGAAAATCAAACCGAGTGGCATCTGTGTTCAAATGCTGCTAGACCTGTTGATTAGTTTTTCATAAACAGTTTGTGCTTTCTGTAAAGTAAATGCTGTTATGCGATTACAATAATACATTTTTAAAGTCAACATGAAATCAAAATTTTTTTCAAATGAGAATGTCTATAATCTTTCATCAAAATGGAAATATCTGGTCACCGACTTTCATGATACTGTCAATTCCTGATACATCAGCGGTTCTCAACCAGTGGGCTGGACCCAATGATTGAAAATGAGACAAAAGAAGCATTAAAATAAGATAAAACAACTAAACAATTTATTTTTTTATTTTTTTTTGGAAGAACCAGTTCCTAGTGCTTTGAAAAATCTGGCTATATGAGGTTGCCTAATTTTAAAACTGAAAAAAGTCATATAAATAAGTGTGTATAACTCCTTGGCCATTTCATGAAGAAAATACGTTTTTCTCTTTAGGCCAAGTACCAAACTAGTTTAATGGGTTATTAAACACAGATTTTTTTTAAAGATATATTAATACATTAAATCACAAACCAACTGTGAAAACCCATAAAACGATGAGGCCTTCAAATATTGTTGTGAACAATTGGTTTTGACTGCGTTTTTTTTTTTTTTTTTTTTTAAATAAGACTTTAAATGTCTGATAAATCTTGGGGGCAACTGTTTTTTTTTTTTTTTTTTTTTTATGAAAACTTGGTGTATAACACAATAGCCATGTTTACATGCATCAAAATAATTGGATTATAATCAGATTGATGGACTGAAAAGCCTTCATATAAACACATCAGATTAGAAGGGATGGTGCAGACCTGAAATAGTATCAATAGGAAAAAAAATCAATCATGTAAACACTTGAATCTGACTATTTTCTCAATTGGATTAGAAAATACTTTGCACGCATGTTCAGTGCCATAATACACAGAATAGAACAGAATATACTTGTATTGTCCTAATTTTGGGAAATTTGTCATGGACTTAAAGGGGCCATAGAATGGAAAACTGCATTTACCTTGACATAGTTGAATAATAACAGTTCTGTACGAGCCTCTGCCGTCTGATCTTGTAAAATGTGGCAAGTACTGCTGCTGTTGTTTACACAGAGCATGTGCGATCGCAAATCTTTAAAGTAAAAAGCGAACGTGCATTCAAAAGCAGTTTCATATGTGAATCATATTGTAGTACGTATTCCTTTCAGAATCTAAAATCAAATTGGATCCATTCCAGTTGAATCTGCCTAAAAGAGACCTTTCGTGTGAAATTGATTTAACAGATGACAATCAAGTCCGCTAAAGAGTACGTTTATAATCTGGAGATCATCTTGAGATCAAAATGATTGTATGAGATATTCCTCCACAACAGCTCAGCTCGATCCTTTCGAAAACCGCAGTATCCATTGGCCTCCGGTGGTTCCTCCCAGAGATCATGACTGTGCTGATACGCTTGTGTCCTCTCTCTAATTCTCTCTGACACCTCCTCCCAGCTGAGTCTGTCCATCAAGCCGCCCCGCCAGTCATTAGCAAGCCTGCGGATGCTTGACTTGTGTGCTTTTTCTAGCCGTTTCCAGAAATGCTTTCCCAGGTTTGCATCGAGACGGATTTCCAACGTCCAAATAGGGTCATTCTGGACGTCCAGCCTTGACTAAGTGTTCAGAAACAATGCTGCCAATGTAATCCAGCATGTTTTGAAATCATCCACATCAGACGACGCATCCAGTCGGATCCCCAACATGTTAAAGTCGAACTAATGTCCCCCTGTTTACAGCACTCAAGTGTTTCCCAAACAGGGTAGTATGTCCCACC